ACTTGTTTCTGGCTCATTATGACCTCACATCTCACAGAACATTGCTCACTCTGACACCATCTTCACCATCATTCCAATGTTTGAGTCCATTGTTACGGCTCCGTTATCACTGGATCCCACCTGACCTCCTACTTTACCACACATTGCTTGCTGGAAGTGAGGCCTGGAAGCACTCGATGAAAATCAAGGATTGCACCCTTCAGTATTGATTAGAACTCAATGTGAAGACCATCAGAATCCTCACAACTGGACAATAGGTAGCATCATGATAAATGGAGAAAAGGTTGAGGCGGTCAAGGAGTTCATCTTGCTTGGATCCACAATCAATGCTCATGGAAACAGCAGTCAAGAGACCAAAGGATGCATTGCGTTGGGTAAATCTGCTGCACAAGGACCTCTTTAGAGTTGAAAGCAAGGATGCTACTTCGAGGTTCAAGGTGTGCCGGATCCAAGCCATGCTATCTTTAACTGCCTCATATGCCTGTGAAAGTTGGAAACTGACCGGGGAAAACTGAAGAAGAATTTGATGCATCTCAACTCTGGTGTTGGCCAAGAATATTAAAAGTACCATGGACTGCCAAAAGAACAAATCTGTTTTAGAGAAGTAGACAACCAGAAGGCTCCTTGCAAGCAAGGATGGTGGTATTTAGTCTCATGTACTTGGGACATGTTGTGGGGGGAGACCAGTCCCTGGAAAAGGACATCATGCTTGGTAACGTAACAGGGCAGTGAAAAAGAGGAAGCCTTCGACAACATGGATTGGCACAGTGACTACAATGAGCTCAAGCATAGGAGCAATTGTGAGGATGGCACATGACCAGGCAGTGTTCATTCGGTCGTATGTAGGGCCACTGTGAATCAGAACTGGCTCCAAGGCACCTAACAATGAATCCTTTCCCAGGGACTGGTCCCTCCTGCTAACACGTCAAAGTATATGAGACAAAATCGCACCATCCTCACTTCTGAGGAGCATTCTGGGTGTACGTCTTCTAAGACACAGTTGCTTGTTCGGGTGGGGCGTGACCTATGCAACACTCTTCACCAAAAGCTTAGTTCCAAGGCATCAGTTGATCTCCGTTTTCCTTACCCATTGTCCAGCTTCTGTACAAGTATTAACTAGGCAATTACATACACCATGGACGGGGGTGGAGGATGTGGGGGTACGGGACTGATGCCAAGGACTCAATAGAAAGTAAATGTTTAGAAAATTGTGATGGCAACGTATGTATAAATATAAATGTGCTTGATGCGATTGATGTATGGATTATTCTAAGAGCTGTAAGAGCCCCCAATCAAACGATATTTTAATAAAAATAGATTAAAAACACCATGGATGGTGTCAGAGGCATTTGAATCCTGAAAGTGACATTTTTGACGTTTCAACACTCTAAAGAAGCCCTTTGCAGATTTGCTCGGTGCAGTTAATTCATTTGATCTCTTGACTGCTGCTTCCAGGGGCACTGATTGTGGATCTAAGCCAAATGAAATCCTTGATCACCTTCAATATTTTCTATTTACAATGGTGTTAGTTACTGGTCCAGTTGTGAGGCTTTTTGAGGCGTCATCCACACTGAAGGCTGGAGTCTGTCTTCCTCAGTACGCGCTCCAAGTCCTCTTCACTCTCACCAAGCGAGTCGTCTTCAGGGCATTGCAGGTTTGGGACTTTACCCCCAATCCCAATTCCTCTAGTCCTACTTTTCAGGTTGTTTGAAAAAGCCCTGCTCCCAGGTAATCAAATGGGGGCTAGAGTTGGGAACCCTGACTCTTCTGTGAGCATTTTAAAGGAAAAGAAATTCTTCAGTGCATGCCAAAGCTCCTATCTAAAGTGATCGCCCTTCCACATGCGAGAAGTGTTTCTTAAGTGTATTTAATGTCACTTTAAATTGCTTTAAAAAAAATGCTTGTCATTCTATTGCTTTGAGTTGAGAACACAGTCCTACAGGGCGGTAAGCTCAGACCATTCGGCTTGCCATTCCTCGGCTCTACAGCGTCAAGGGAAATCAACAAGAATGACGGCAAAAAGGTAGCAAGTTACAAAGTGCTGCTACGAAATCAGGGAGACCTATGCTAAGGAAAAGTATCAAAATGTGAAGCCCAGTGCCCAGGTCTCTAGCCTTAAGCTGGTGTTTCACTCTCTAGTCCTTCCCCAAAGAACCCAGCAGCCCTCTTCCGTTGAAACCACGTCAAAACAGCAGCTTGGGAATCCTTGAGTGGGGTTCATAACGTGTTTTATTCATTGGGTTTGGGGAACAAAAAGTCTGAAGGGGCAAGACTGGGGCAGTGGGGGAGTAAGGTTTCCCAGGAAATCTAGGTCAGCCCTTGCTCCCCTCAAAGGAAGAGCTGGTACATTGTTAAGATGGGGGCAGGGTGGTGGTGGTGGTGGTGGTGGGGGAGGGGCGGCGGAGACACAACACATTCTTCGGCACAACTTCCCATCAACTGCAGTTTTCAATTTCCGTAAAATTTCTTCATAAGCTCCCGAGTTCCTCAAGAAGATTAATCTACCAAAATTATCCCTTTAAGATCTCAACACTGTTTCCCTAGCTTTCTGAGCTAACTTCTGCTTTGAACTAGCCCAAAATATCCCCCTTGGAAGCAGTTTTGAGACCTTTTCTTTTGAAGGCACCCGAGACTAAGACAGTCTGTCTGAAAGAACTTATCTGGAGGCATGTTCTCAAACAGGTGTTGCTTGGGACAAACCTCAGCATGTATGAACTGGAACCTTGGTATAATCCTCATCCTTTTTCACTTACACCACATCAAAACTGTGAAAAGTGGTCAGGCAACTGTGAATAGCCAAGAACCCCGTCCTGACTCTCCCCCTCATTTAAATTCCCCTGTAGGCAGCCCCTCAAGCCCTGGGGGTGCTGGGTTGAGGGGCTGAGCAGTCAGCAGCTCGCTGGGAGGCTGCAGGGGAACTCACCGGCCTCCGCAGGAAAGAGCTGTGAGCCTGCTGCAGGAGCACAGCCTTGCCAACACTGGGCCCGCTCTGCTCAGTTCTCCAGAGAAGCCAAGCTGGAATTAACTCCAGCATTGGGTTTTGTTTTTGTTTTTCAAAGAAGCACAAGATCTGTTTTGTTAAGTTAATGAAAGATAAACCATGGTTGAGAAATAAAACTTTTATAGATTCCTCTTCAACACAATAGTTATAAACCAGAATGGTATTTGGTCTCATTTTAAATATGTGACAATTTTTACGGATGTGAATGTTTTCCATTAGCGTATTTCAATTAAATGGGGTATGGGATGGATGACAAAGAGCATGTGAATATTTCCATGGAAGTCATTTTACCCGCTTAAGATGCAGCGTTCAATAGCATGAGAAGACAGAAGCAGAAATTTAATCAGTTTGGCTTTATCAAAGAAACCTTTTGGTATCTGTTATTGTCAGTGGCTGCTGATTCTGACTCGGGGTGAGCCCAGGTGTGCTGCTCTAGTGGTTCCGACTCAAGCAGCTGACGGCTGCTCTGCAGTTTTCAAAGCTGTGACCATCCAAGGGCAGATTACCAGGCCTATCTTGCAAGGCACCGAGTGTGTTGGAACGACCAACTTTAGGGTTAGTTGTTCAATAAACATTTTTATCATTCATTAAAAACTGAGTCAAACTTTTACTCTTGTCCTTGGACAAAATATTACTTTATTTCAGGCAAATTACATTTTAAACTTGCCTTTAAAAAAGGGAGATTCCACATTCCCCATGGTTAGGATGACAAGAGTTAGGGGAGAGGGTTAAGTCATCAAATAGTGTAACTAAAATCATCAGAAAATATTCTATCAGGAAGACATGTTTAAGTTTTTTTCATGTCAACAATTATTTATTAAGCACTATATGCGAAGTACTAAGCTTGGCTCCTTTCTCGTGTTCCCTTCCAATCCCATGACAGTTATGAATACTAATTATGACTAATATTTGAGTAGCACTTTGCAATGAAATGCACTTTCACTAAGATTAAGTTCAGGCCAAGTAAAGATTTCCTGTGCACCTATGAAGCCATGTGAGATTTCCTATTCAGCTGTTCCAATAGATATTAAAGCCAAAGTGATCATGGTACAAAAGGGGGCAGTGGCAGCCAGGAAATGTGCTGTCCTGGACTAGCAGTGGAGGAGCCTAGTTGACAGAGAACATTGTCAGAATGATGTGGGGGGTGGCATTCCACTTCCTTTGACTTTAAACTCAACATTAGCCCAAGGCCAAATTCCTATGAGGCAAAGGTCAGGGGTGTCTCCCTTCTCCAATCTTAACCCCCACCCCCACAACTGTCCCTCCCATGGCACTCTTGTGTTTGATGATCCACAAAGAACTTAATGACAATGCTCAAGATTATGAGACTCATTAAGAGAGTTAACAGGTTACAATTCAGCATTAGAAATCCTCAAGATACAGCTACTCAGAAATTTAAGCGCTGTAATAGATTACTGGGATTAAAAATTGATCCCCACAGGGTTACAGTGATCGCTTCTGTTTTAAGAGAACGTAGTATGAAAACTAAGGGACTGTATACCCAGCTTAAGACTTGGACCCTTACCAACAAAACAGCGATGAAGTCCCTTTGCGCTCACCCTGAATCTTCCTCCTACTCTCCAGATTGTGTTCTGTCATTCCTGTGCACTTGTTTATCTTTTTACAATAAATATATGTATCCTAGGCAATAGTTGCTCTTTATCACATTCTTTTCTTAAAACTTCCTAAACTATGGCCTACATGTTTTTATACTGAAGTCTGGCTGGTCCTACGGCGTGCTCTGCTGTCAACTCTGAGGGAGGGAGACCCAGCGGCAGAGAACTGCTCTGTGGAGAGTTCACTGGCTGTGACCTTGCAGATTCAGATCTCCAGGCTTGTCTTCCGAGGAGTCCTGACAGGGATAGCATCACCACCTTTTTAGCTAGCAGTTGAGCACTTACTCAAGTGCATCCCTCAGTGATCCTTACTTAATCTTATAACAAACAAACATATAAAAACCATGCCAGTGACGGTAAAGAGAAACTGTATCAGACACTGATCAAAACCTCAACACGAAGAAAAAAGAGGTTTTATTATCTGGACTTGTCAAAGTTACATAAATGCAGGTCAGTCATGATCCCCTTTAAAGTCTCGAAAAGCCCCCAAATAAATAAGCACACACAATAATCTCAGTTGAAAAAAGTACTGAGTTACTTCTAAAAGTTATATGAAATCAAAGGCAGAATCACGGCAGTCTACCCAAGCTGCCACGAGGGGAGCAAAGATGCTTGGTCTCGAGTGTGAATTTAAATGCGCAGTGTCAACCACAAAAGGTCAGAGAAAATAAAATCCTAATTCCTAACAGCGAAAATGAAGTGGGCTTGCAAATGTTGTATTCTCCAACGAAAGGTGAAAGCAGGATGAGGAAGAACGTTCGTTCGCTGGTCCTAGCACCTAGGTACCTTTAAGGATAATCTCGCAAGGAAGCCAAAGGGAGCACTGATAAAGCTTTACACAAAAGCTAAGTGCTCGTCATTCAACGGGAGCCAGCACTCTTATTTGTGGAGCCCACCTGTCACAGCAGAACAGGCCCCTTAGATACCAAGACTGACAGGAGTACCAAATTCTACTTCACAACGGCCACGATGTGCTTCTTCTTCTCGGGTACAATGGGCACAGATCCAGGCTTGCTATGCTTACGCCGATTCACTTCCCTACAAAGAAAGAGAATAGACAAAACATAAGCAAGTTAATGCAAAATCATCCTAAGAAAATAATTTACCAGAAAAAATAACAAACCATTTCTTCCCCCAGAAATTGGCTTACTGGAGGGACAAAAACATTTTCAAAATGAGGGTAAATAAAAAGTGAGTAGGAATGATTATTACTTATTAAATTGCTCATATCCCAGGACATATCAATGTCCTTTGCTAAATTTAACAACAAGTCAGTCATTAAGAAATTTCAAAATGAACAAGTGAACTAAAATCAATAGAAGGGAGGGCAGGGCGTACGATGCCTAGGCGGGCTTAATCAAGGGCAATGTAGCAGTGAGGAATTACTAAACTGGAATGAAGGCCGAACCTGATGGTGGGACGAGAGGAAAGTAAAAGGAAATAAAAGAAAGAACCAGGCGGCAAAGGACATTTATAGAGGCCTAAATACAGGCATGTACATATGTAAATATATATATAAAGAGAGGGGAATAGAACTATGTACTCATATCTATATGTTAAGAATTAAGGTTGCAGCTGGACATTGGGCCTTGACTCACTCCAACATAAGAACACTTTGTTTTAACAATCTGACATTCCATGATGCTCACCTTCCTGACACGATTGCTGAAGACAAAATGGGTATATAAGCAAATGTGGTGAAGAAAGCTGATGGTGCCTGGCTATCAAAAGATATAGCATCTGCGGTCTTAAAAGCTTGAAGATAAACAAGCGGCCATCTAGCTCAGAAGCAACAAAGCCCACATGGAAGAAGCACACCAGCCT